CTTCCCTAACACCCCCCAGTTTTGTGAACTATGGTTCATACAGCCCACCTTCCCCCTCATGGTCTCACCCCTCATGGGCCCTGACACTCCCCCCCCTGTAAATTCGAACACCCCCCCTCATTTCAATTCCTGGGAAGGCTACCGGGGGAGGGTCTTTCTGCTTCTCAAAAGCTTCAGAGTGGGAGCGGAGATAGTCTGTAACTGGAAAAGCTTGAAAAACAACCAGTAGTCTTGCAGCGCCTTGAGACACTCAAAACATATAGATGGCATCATGAGCTTTCCTGGGTACAACCCACTAGAAGTGGGTAGGGGACACGAAAGCTCATGATACCATCTACATATTTTGTGAGTCTTTAAAGTGCTACTAGACTACCTGTTTTTCAAGTTTTTCTGCTTCTCAGTTGGGAGCCATGTCAGTGAGAATTTTTTTGGAGGGAGGTGGGGGGCGGAGTTTTTTTTCTTCTCACTTGTGTGAGAAAACTGATTTTTCTGTGGGTCAGTGGCCCCTGACCCAAAAAAGGTTCCCCACCCTGTAGGTGCTTCATAGCAGGATCTATGCTATGATCTGTTTCTGAGGCCTGGTCTTGTCTGCTAAAAAATCAGACTGACTTCACTAGGTAAAGTGTTTTTATTGGAGGTGTGGTGTAGATGTGGCATGGTTGTTGGAAGGATTCTTCCACTGACTTTGCTGCTGCCTCAGATAAACTAAGGCCAGAGTTCACTTACCTTGAGATTGATGCTCCAGAAATCAGCTTTTGGGGTTCAATTTAGCAGGACTAGTAAGGACCCATTAAATCAACTGCTGATGGCACCCCTGGCAATTGATGGGGGAGTGGAAACAGGGTGGGGGACTCAGGGTAGAGGGTGGGATTCAGGAGTCAGGGTAGGGGGGTGTTCAGGATTCAGGGAAGGCTTAGGCCAGTGGGCTGGGAAGTCAGGGAGCTTACCATGGCCATACTGGTCTGGTGGTGGCGGCTCCTGGGGGGCCAGAGTGGCTTGCAGCTTCTCAGGGGAGCAAGGGTTCTGGGCTTGGCTACCTGATTTCCTATCCCCGCCCCCCTGGGCAGGTCTTTTGAGGGGCAGGGCTAGGCTGTTCAGCCCCTTTGCTGGGTTCTCGGGGAGGGGAGAAGCTGCATCTGGGCTGCCTGTGCCTCCTCGAGCAGCGGGACCAGAGCCCTGGCAGTTGGGCTGGTGGCCAATGGAGCTCCTCTTCTCCCCCATCCAGCACTGCAGCTGGGGAGAGCAATTTGGGGCAGAGGAGACACTGACTATCCACAGCTGGCCACTGTGTCCCTGGTGCTGCTGCCTCCCACCTATGGTCACTCTGCAGTGTAGCTGACTGTAGTGGTCACTGCAGTATAGCTTCCCCTCTGCTCAGCCTCCTCCCTTTTCTTGTTATGGACAACAGTCCCATTCCAGGCACATCCCATTTCCTGGAACAACAACCCCTGACCTTGGTTTAAGTTAGGATAAAAGGAAGGTGCATACTAAATTTGATGGTCCTAGCTCTTACCATGTAGGAGGAGTTCTTGAATAAATGGACTCACAGATGAACAGATGGAGGCACGTTTCTAAAATGTATTGCTATAGATCTGTGCGCTGTCCAACTCTGACAATACGTAAGTTCTCTAAATGAAATCTATATGCTGCAGGAAGTGATGCATTAGATCAGGGGTGAGGAACATTTTTTGGGGGGGGGCTCGGGGCTACTGACACACAGAAAACGGCCACATGCAACTGAGAAGAAAGAAAACACGTCACTGATGTGGCCCCTGACTGGGAAGGAGAAAGACACTCCTCACATTCCCCTGGTACGCCAGAGCCTAGGAGGGTCCCAGGCTATTAGATTTTGTGTGCTCCAAGACTAGGGAGGGGGAGAACTGGAACGCCAGTGCAGACTCCCCAATGCTAGGGGGAGCACTGAGCCTCAGGAGCTGGATCCAGGCAAGCCAGTGGCTGGGCCTTAGGTTCCCCATCCCTGCATTAGATGCTCTGATAGCCCAATAATAGGTATGGCAAAAAAGCCTGAATAGGAATGGTGCTTTTTTTCTCCTCTATAATTACTGGGCTTTTACTCATAGCATTTAAATGTGTGTGCTTGATCAGTTTTGGTCACTAAAATACCTCTCTGTTGCTTATCAGTGTTACAAAGTATTAACCAGGAACGGTAATAATATACTAATATTAGAATATTCCTACTATTTTTCACTTCCCATTCTAAAACTAAATTTTTACTGCTGCTTTTCAGTAGCACACTAGTGATCCATATTCATATTTCCTGTAAAGTGCATTTGGATGCCTCATGGTGAAAGAAGTTAATACATTATCAGCAAAAAATTACTCTATCAGGGATCTTAGAGAGCGTGTAATTGAATAGTCATGTGACCGCATCAAGTTTTAGCAGTTACATGATTATTCGATAGTTCCTGGGGGCTAGGGCTGGCAGCCAGTGATCTCCCAGCTCCACTCCCAGTGAGCTCCCAGCCACCCAACTCTGCTGCTGACCAGCTCCCACTTGCCACCCTGCGCTGCTGCCTCTGATACATCCATGGAGTAGACTCTGTCCAAGATGAGCCCGGTGTCGCCACGGACAAAGGATATGCCAACATCCAAGGAGCAGGCTCACTTGCCTTCCCTCACCTGTGCTTTTAAGTCAGCTCCCTCTGAGCACTGGTTCCTGTCTGCCCCCCTACCTCTGTGGGAGGCAGTTGTGGGGACAGGTGGCTCCCTGGGAGATGATACTTGCAGGCAGCTCGCTTGAAAGCCGTCTCCCTACATGTACTGGTACTTGTCTCTTCACCCTCAACACTGCTGACTCTCTGTCAGAGGCAGCAACATAGGAGTGCAGGGGGTCAGCCAGCTCCATGGGATCTAGTGCTAATAGGGAGCCAGCTTCAAAGCTGGGTCCTCATGGGCATTGGTACTCCCTCAAACTCCTCCTCCTCCCGTATCACAGGCAGCAAGGGAGTGCTTGTAGTCATCGGGATTAACCAATAAGTCTAGGCTTATCGGTTAACCATGTAGTTGTCTACATGCTGACATCCCTCCTCTCCATCTGAATATTTTTTACCCACTGTTGTTGCAAGTATCCCCTCAGATTGATATAACTGAAAGAGATTAGAAAATAAAACATTCTCTGCATTGGACTGTATTTACTCTGTTCACATGACCCAACTTTGTGTAAAATCACTGACTATGCAAGAGAAATAGTAAAGTATGTTTTCTGTTCTATTTGTGTGTCTCATGGCAACAGGGGAGAGTAAAACATTTTTTTGAAAATAGGAAAATATAGACCTGATCTTGCAAACAGAGGTGGATCAGTAAGACCTTCATTAAATTAAATGGGGGTCTGCCCCCATGGAGAAGCCTACAGGATCAGGGCCTATGACTATAAAACCACAGAAATTCTTAAGGAGATGCAGGCAGATGAACGTGAAGCTTTTAACTTTTTCAAAGTTTTTTAACTGATTAGATTTGAACTACATAAAACCACATTTACATTACATTAATTATTTGGCATTAGTAGTGTGTCATATATTAAAATAAGATCTAAGACTCATTTTCATTCTTGTTATTAAAAACAATGTCTCATTTGTGGAGGGAAAAATAACCCAATACTTTGGTTTGTTTCAGAGTATATCATGAAGGAAATAAAGGAATCCCCAAAGACCCATTTCCCTTTGAGGTAAATATTTTTCTCTTTTAAAAATAGCTCTTAAGTCTTAAAAATGGTTTGAAAAATTTCTAAAGATATTAAAAAAGATAATTATTTTTAATTTTCTAACAAACAGGTGTACAGAAGAGAAGCATCTGAACTTCGAATCTAGGCAAATTTGGCATAATTATAAAAATTCAATAACATTTAAAACCAGCTTTTCCAAAACTAGAAAATAAATAGCTGAATAGAACTGACAAATTCAACCTTTTTCTTGTATTTTTTTGTAGTTTTCCTTTTTCTTGTATTTCGTTTTAAAAAACCTAAGTAAAGAACTGCACTTTGTTGTATGTCTTGAAAGCAACAGATTTGATCTATTTGAGACCAACTCAAAGAGTGAACCCCTCATGAAGAAACTGTCATGAGACACTCTTGCCTTTCATACCGAAGGGCAGGGCTCGACAATTAATGTGAACTACTCGCCCGTGGCGAGTAGATTACAAGCTGGCACAGCCGTGCAACGCGGTCAGCGCATGCGCAGCGCGCCGAACCGCGTGACTGGCGAGCGGGGCTCACCCCGGCGTGGCGAGCCCTGCCAAAGGGTATGTCTACACTTGCACCCTCTTTGGAGAGAGGGATGCAAATGAAGATATTCAAAATTGCTAATGAATCCAGGATATAAATATCCCATGCTTTGTTTGCATAATCGTGTTATGGCGCTATTTCGAAATAACAGACTCTGTTAAGACGCGGTTATTTCGCTCTCAAAATAACTGGTAAACCTCACAGTATGAGAAATAAGGGTTATTTTGAGAGAAGGGTTTTCTCTCGAAATAACCGCGTCTTAACAGAGTCTGTTATTTCGAAATAGCGCCATAACGCGATTATGCAAATGAAGTGCGGGATATTTAAATCCCAGCTTCATTTGCAATTTTGAATGTCTTCATTTGCAGGGCTCGACGATCACGGCGAAAACCACTCGCCAGACCCACACTGCGCATGCACAAACCGCCGGTGAACGGGGCGACCAGCTGAAATCTACTCACTGCGGGCGAGTAGATAAGCGGATTTGTCAAGTCCTATTCATTTGCATCCTCTCTCAAAAGAGGGTGCAAGTGTAGACATACCCTCGGGGACTAAATCTTGAGTACCTTCACTGATTGCCATCTTTCCATGTCATACTATTGCAACTGCAATCTCTTGGTCCTAAGCTATTTGTGGTTTAATAGGTCAACTTAAACTATAAATTTCCCCTAGAAACCAATAGGCAGCCAGCAGATTCCAGAATTGTGATTCATGATATGCTGTTAAGTGGCTTACAACATTCTGCATCATCTTCAATTTTTTAGTTGATAAACTTTATTTCCATGTAGATTACATTGCAGCTGTCTTACCTTGAAGTGAGAAAGGTATGAATTAATGAATGGTTGAAATGATAGTAGAAAATGGTTGTGTAGTTAGTTGATTTTGAAATCTGTATCATAAAAATGTTTTCTAAACACAGCATGTAAATTCAATACATTAACCTTTTTTTTCTTTTGCCAGGCTGATGTCCAAGTACATTTGATTGGTGAGGGTTGCAAAAGTCCCTTAGAAAGTTTTTGGAATGGAAACAGCATGATATTCATTATGCAGAAAGCAGTTAAGTGGGTTGTATGTGTTTGGTTTTAAAACTAGAGCTTTATATTAACATCTGGATATATTCAAATATACTCTAATTTTCAGATCTACACATGCATTTCTTTTAAAGGGACATGTTGAACTAACTGACCAAATGGAAGAATCACAAATAGATGATGCCACTAATATTTCAGAGTTTACACCAGAGATGGGTTCTGGGCCAGTTGCTCTATCTGTTGGAAGAGCAAAGTAAGTTTCCATAGTTTTATCTTTTTGTTTAAAAGCAGTTTTAGACCTTATTCAACACAAAAGTAAATTCTGTGCAACACTGCTGTGTATAGTTAAATTAAACGGACAATGAGAGGATCACTTGATGATTACCTATTCTGTTCATTCCATCTGAAACATCTGGTGCTACCACTGTTGGAAGACAGGATAATAAACTGGATGGACCTTTGATTTGATCCAGTATGGCTGTTCTTATATTCTAACTAATCATAGGAATTTGAAAACCCAATAGAATTTTGTGTGTCTTATGTATACACTAGCACATTTACCCTGTGTTGCTCTGGTCCTTAAGAAGGGGCTCGGGGCTGGAGATCTGCGGGAGGGAGGAGTCAGGGTTGGGGAGTGTGAAGGGGTTCTGGACAAGACATGGTGTGCCCCAAGCTTCCTCCTTTCCAATTAGTATCAGAGCTACTTACTCTTCCCCTTCTTGTCCCTGTCAGGGAGCAAGAGCAAAGTGCACAGCTTGTTTGCTCTCTGCGCTTGCCAGCCAGAGTGAGGAATGCATCAAACTGCATTTTCTGCTATCTTTCTGAAAATGGGTAATAGCCAGAAATGTACCCAAATGAATATGGACTGGGGGGGGGGAGAGCTTCTGCCTCCTCTGCCTTCCTTAAAGGGCACTGGGGGGAGGGGAAGTCTCGGGACTGGGACAGTCTTGGCTAAGGGGGACAGAGCACACCTCCAGCCTGCCTTTTTCGCCTGTCTGGTGATTGTCTCTTTTCTGTACAGTTTTATGAGAAGCTATCCAATTCCAGGCACATCCCATTTTTCTGGCACAACCAACCTCTTACGTTGCTTTAAGTTATGATAAGAAGAAGCTATATATCTAATTTGGTGGTCTTAGCTCTTACTGCTTAGAAGGAGTTCTTGAACAAATAGACAAATTCTCTCAAATATAAAGATAGGTCTGTCTTCACTGCCGGGGAAAGGAGGAAGAGTATGTTCTCAATTTGAGCTAATTAACTTGAAGTAAAATCCTAGTGAGGAAAAGGCAACTTATAGTTGTTACACAAATTAATAGGTTATTTAAAAGAAGATTATTCTATGAAGGATCTTCTATAATCTTTTTATGTTGTTGTGAATTTTACCTCTTATGCAAGTTGCAGCAAATTGTCCTTTTTAGGGATGCAAAAAACTGTTAAAATAATTAACCAGTTAAATGGATAAAAGTATACTGTTTAACCAGTTAATTGCTGGCACGCAGGCAGGCAGATGGCAGTCATACACCAAGAATAAGTCTCAGTCCTGCATGCTTACACACCTGATCAGTCCAGATTAAATTAATGGGATGGATCATAAGTGCTTTTGCAATATCAAATTTATTACTCTTTCAATTATTAATATTTCCAGTATATATGAGCTCCCTTTCCATGATGAAATAGTCATCCACTAATATACAGATACTATGAAGTGACTAGTTTCATATGATGAAAAAATATTCAGAACTTGTCCAGTATTGGAAAGAAAAAGGTTAGGGATATAAAAGGTTAACCATTTCTTGGTGTATGGGTCTGGGTTCCTGCCTGCCCTCCCCAGCCATGCATGATGGTGCAGCAGGGCTAGAGCCACTGCCTGCGTCAGTGTAGCTGGAGCTTGGGACCCTCCAGCATGGCCAAGGAAAGTGTTTCACTGACGCTTCCGGGAATGGGGTCCAGCTGGCATTTCCTAGCATGGCCAAGATCCTGCCAGCCTGGGCTGCCCCAGCACAATTAGTGCTGGCACCCCACCTGGCTGTCCCAGCTGCTCCAGCACATCTGGGGTTGAGGGAGCTGATGTAGGGCGCAATCTTGTCTGCCGCCCCCAGATGGCTGGCAGGACTAAGCCATTGCTGCTCCAGCCTGGCATTGTTGGTCATCTAACAGTTACCTGGTAAGCTTAATGCTATCTGGGTAACTGGTTAAATAGTTAACCTTTTACTTCCCTAGTCTTTTTCTTTCTAATATTGGACAAGTTCTGAATATTTTTGATCATATGAAACTATTCACTTCTTAGTATCCATATATTAGTGGATGACTATATTTCATCATGGAAAAGTAGCTCATATACCGGAAATACTACTAACAAACAGTAGTACACTTTTGATATTGCGAAGGCACTTACAAGCCATCTCATTAACTTAAATTGGACTGATCAGATGTGTAAGTATGCAGGACTGAGACTTAAATGTTTTTTTGGTGTATGACTTTAAAATGGTGGCCGTTTTTTTCAAGAAAAACTGACTTCAATTTTTTAATATATATCAGAAGACACCAGATAAATCTAGGGAATGTTAAAAATCGTGTATTTGAGTGAACGTGTAACTGCTGAATTTTTTAGCGGTTACATGGTTACATGCAGGGGAAGGCAGATGGGAACTGGTGCTTGTTGGGAGTCAGCTTTTAAGACAGCTTCCATCTGTCCCCCCCATTGCTGCCTCCATGGGAGGCAGTGGCGGGGGGCAGGGAGAGGGAGCAGGCGGCTCCATGGAAGCTAGCATTAACGGAGAGCCAGTTTAAAAGCTGGTTCACCATGGCTGTGTCTAGACTGGCAAGTTTTTCCGCAAAATCATCTGCTTTTGCGGAAAAACTTGCCAGCTATCTACACTGGCCCCTTGAATTTCTGGAAAAGCACTGACAATCTCATGTAAGATCGTCAGTGCTTTTCCGGAAATACTATGCTGCTCCCGTTCAGGCAAAAGTCTTTTTCTGAAAGACTTTTGCGCAAAAGGGCCAGTGTAGACAGCACAGTAGTGTTTTCCGCAAAAAAGCCCCGATCGCGAAAATAGCGATCGGGGCTTTTTTGCAGAAAACTGCGTCTAGATTGGCCACGGACGCTTTTCCACAAAAAGTGCTTTTGCGGAAAAGCATCCTGCCAATCTAGACGCGCTTTTCCGAAAATGCTTTTAACGGAAAACTTTTCCGTTAAAAACATTTTTGGAAAATCATGCCAGTGTAGACGTAGCCCATGTGTACTGGCTCTCGCCTGTCCCTTTGCGCCATTGCCTCTGATACAAAGTAGAGCTGTCAAGCGAATAAAGAATTTAATTGTGATTAAAACATTTAATGGCTATTAATCATGCGTGCCTCCCCATTGAAATTCCATGGCAACGTTTCAACAGGGCAGCCGTGCATGGAGCCCAGGATCAGCTGGAGTCCCCAGCTGACCCTGGGCTCCATGCAGCACTCCCCCTTAGAAGGTTTCCAAGGGGCAGGAATTAGGAGCCTGGGATCAGCTGGGGACTCCAGCTGATCCCCAGCTCCACTGTTGCAAAACCTCTTTGAAGCACCGGAGGGGCTTGCACTGTCTCTTTGAAGTGCCATTTTGGTGCTTTAAAGGGGGCAGCGCATTAGGAGCCCGGGATCAGCTGGGGAGTCTAGCTGATCCCCGGCTCTGCATTGCAAAGCCCCTTTGAAGTGCCGCTCTTAATTGTGACTATATATATTTGTTATTAAGTTTCTATATGTTGCTTAATAGACTAGATGTTAAAGTAGTGTGACTAGAGAGAAGTTAACTGGTATCATGATAAATTTTGTTCATGGTTATTCTTTTATACTTTTATTTCTAGGGAACTGATTTCACTCTATACCATGTCACAAAATCCTAACATGACCCATTTGAACATAAGCAAACGATGTGTGCTTCCTCCCCTTTGGGTAAGGTGTGACTGCTCTGACGCTGAACATACCTGTTGGCTAGGAGCTGAGCCTCTCAAACATCGGGACACAATCACAGGGATCAATCTCCATATAGTTACATGTAATGGTAAGTGCCTTCTGCCTATAATGTTACATGATCAGTGCTTCACCGAAGCTGAGAGAGGGAAGGACAAGAAATAAGTGACAGTTAATACACTAACAATCTATATTGCCATGATGGCTGTCCATTTGTACTCTTTAACCTAAATTTTCATTACAAAATTGTCTCTAGCTCAAGTGGTATAAAAGAAGACCTTCAAAGTGTGAACGGAATGCAATCAATGCAGTGATGTTTTACAGCTCTTCAGACGTGAAAAAAAGGAACAAAATGAATGGTCCTTCTGAACCTTAGAAACTAACAAAAAATGTAGATAGTATCATGAGCTTTCGTGGGCACAACCAATTTTTTCGTCTGAAGAAGCTCATGATATTACCTACATTTTTTTTAGTCTCTAAATTGTTGCAGGACCATTTGTTGTTTAAGCTTTTTCAGTTACAGACTAACATGGCTACTCCTCTGAACCGTTCAGACAGTCTGACACAGTAATTTTAGAGAAGTGAGAATTTCTCCCGCACATGTCCATACTAAATGCTGTGAACGACCCGTTTCCACCCTGACTTAGCTTCATTAATACAAGCAACTTCTTCATTATACATACTCCTGCTTCTGTAATTTCCATTCCAATTCATTTGATGAAGTGGGTTTCACCCACAATAACAGATTTATTAGGGCATAAGTTTGTCTCGAAGGTATGGTAGGATTCCTCTGTTTTTACAGATATAGATTAACATGGCTACGGCTCTGAGACTGAACTATACTGAACATTAAAAAAATACTTTCGCCACTACTTATACAAAATCAATAAAGGGATGATTGACATTTTGAAGAATAGAGTTATCGTGAATAGTATTTCATTCTGGATTTTGGAAGTATACCACCGCTTATGTTTTTTCCTTGCTGATCACTTAATAATTACATCTGATACTAAATTCAACTTGTGGTTCGAATTTTCTGAAAGTCTCTCTTCCTTTCATAGGTCCTACAGCTGATAAAACCTGTTTTGAAAATCTAGAAGATCTTAAAATGGCACACAGAATCAGACATCACTCATCTGTTGTAGGTTTTTTATATTTTTCTCACCCTTCAAAGTATTATACATTTAATTAGTTTAGTTAATCAATTCTCAAAGTTTTTGGGCTCCGGAGCCATTTGCATGCATAAAAATTTATGCGGAGCCCTAGCGGTCCACTTATTGTATGTCTTGTACCTATCAATGTTTCCAATTTGTCAATCTCGCGGAGCCCCTGGAGATCTCTTGTGGAGCCCTGGGGCTCCACAGAGCAGAGTTTGAGAAACACTGGTTTAGTTTATAAATAGTGGTAAGATTTTTTTTAAAGGTCTCTGAAAAATGTTTGATTAGTGGAACACCTGTCCATACTATGTTGATTTGAAATTGTAGGGCTCTTTTGCAGGCTTCAGAAAGTATCATGTAATATTCTTTTGAAAATAATCATTAGATTGGTAATCTCAGTTTTAAAAGTCTATTTAAAATTTATTCTAGGTGGCAACCAAAGGCTTTGCTCAGTATGAGCTTGTTCGATCCACTACATTGGAGGATACAATTGTTGAATCAGAGAGTAATATATCTATTGATATTACATGGAATAATGTGAATAAGATTCTGGAGACACCTCCACTCACTGCAGTGGCAACATTGGTAGGAGAAAAGCTCTTGGTCCTATTTATATTAAGTATTGCGGCTCACAGAAAGTATGCTAATTTTTGCTGATTATATTATTGTGGCAGTAACAATATAGCATATTGATAACATCCATAATAAATAGTTCATCAGCCTGATTTCTGTTGTTAAGGTTTTAGAAATTTGTATTCCAGAGTCAGTCTGATGTGTGTGGGTTATTTTTTTTATTTTGTTTTTGTTTTTATTTTCAGAACATTAGATTGGAACCTGGGGACCCAAGGAGTCCTGTGTTCGAGTTACATAGAGAACTGCAGTTTCTCCTTGTAAGTATGAATGTGAAACTTCCAGTTTATATCAGTTTGGTTGCCAACATACCAGGAATGGTATTTTTATGTTGAGTATTTTGGTAACTATTTATAAGGTTCTTTGAAATGACATGACTATATTAAATGCAAATAACTTTTAACACAGTGTTAAAGTTGAGAAATAAAGGATACACTAGTCACAACATTCTAAAATTTCTAACAACATTAGCTTGGCTGTATTGCATACCATTTCTTGGTGGAATTTTCATACAGTGGTTCATTTTTGTTGTTTTTTACGAGTAAAATAGATTTTTATATTCCTGTGCAGAACCTCAAACAAAATAATCTAGATTTTTTCTGTTAGGTTTTGGCTGAAGGCTTGAAGACTGGAGTGACGGATTGGCCTGAGCCTTTGGTAGCTGAATCAGCGGTTGAGCTTGTTCAGGAACTTCTGAATGGTATTTTTAATTAATAATTTGAGATGCTATAAATGGATAAAATTGTGTAGAGAAATGCAAATCTTGTAATCAAAATTTAAGTTAAGAAAAAATGGCAAGAGACTTAAAACTTCACACGAATGAAATGAAAATGCAGCGTAAGGTTATGATAGTATTGGAACTGTAGATGGCAATTTATAAGGTACAATAATACACCAAAAGTGGTCCTGAAACAAGTTACTTTGTATACCTCTAACTCTCCTGGTGAAATCTCGAGAATCTTGTGAAACAGGTAAACTGTAGTGTTGAAAATAGGAAGAAAAAGATTAAATGAGACAAATAGAAATCTCTCCTACAACAGTTTATAGACTGAGACAGGAAAGAACACATGTAAACATAGTGGCAAAGATTTTCAGTGACTAATGATTTCAGTTTCCCAATCTTTGTGTGCCCCACTTGTGTTATATTAAATTATCCTGAATTTCAGCTAGTGCTAAATATGCCAACATCTCACTTCTAAAAATTCTGGCCTTTTATGACAAGAATTTTTTTAGCTTAGAGCAGAAGAGGGCAAATGTATTGGCCTGAGGGTGGCCACATCAGGGATCAGAAATTGTATAGAGGGCCAGGTAGGGGAGGCTGTGCCTCCCCAGACAGCCAGGCATGGCTTGGCCTCATTCCCCTATGCAACCCCCACATGTTCCCTCAGGGACCCCTACATTCTATCCAAATTCCCCCTTCACTCCCTAGCCTCTGAGGACTTCCTGCCTCCTAATTAACTGCCTTTGCTTCCCACCCCCTATCCAATGCACCTGCCTCCTGATTACCCATATTTCCCCACTCTGCCCGCTAGCTAACCCCACGTGTTCCCTGCCCTCCTAGGATCACCTAACTAACCCCCTGCTCCATTCCCCCTGGGACTCCCTGCCCTCTGACCATGCTACCTAGTGCACTGCAGATGGCAGTGCCACAGCCATGATGCCCAGAGTTCTGAGGCAGGTAGTGCTGCAATCAGACCACCTGGCCAGAACACCTAGGCGGGAGCTGGGATGATTGGACGGAAGGATTCAGCAGACTGGATTTGGCTTCTGGGCTGTAGTTTGCTCCCTTCTGTTGTAAAGGATATATCCATGCGGGTTTAAGACAGAGAACTTCAGAGTGAAATTGAAATTATCCACAAATCAGCATATAGACTAACAGAGAGAAGGAGAAAATGTATGTAAGAAAACCAGAGATGTTGATAAACAGTAAAACCACTGTTTCAATTTTAGAGAAGTGGTATTAATTTTAGAGAATAGGTATTAACAAATTATCCCTAGGCACAGGGGTGGATGATAATTTTGCGGGGCTCGGGGCAGCGCCTCAGGGCCCGGGCGGTACAATTTCGCACATGTGCGTCGGCAGCAGCTGACCGGAAGTAGTGTTTCGTGCATGCGCCTCGGCAGCAGCCAACCAGAAGTAGTGTGCGTTGGGTGCATGCGCGGGGCCTATTGAAGTGCGGGTCCCAGGGCAGCCGCCCCGCTCACCCTGCCCTATATCCGCCGCTGCCTAGGCAAGTGACTACAGTAAAAGTGTGAGAAATTAATAAAACAGTTTACTTTAAAAATATACATGAATGCACTGTACTAGACTAAATAAGATAACAAATCCTTCCATTATGTAGCTGAATGTATTAAATGCAGGATTATTGTGACTTTCTTCAGTGTGCATACACCCACTCTTTCTTCACTCCTCACCACCCTTGGGGAAGGCAAGGAACCCAAGACAGTATTTCAGGAAACCCCCATGTTACGACGGCCTGACTTGTGACTCCCCGCACTTACGATCAAGTGTGGAAGGGGCCGAAAACTCCTGACTTCCATCTTCGGCCCACATTTACGATGGCACATGACGCCTATTGTCAATGAGGGTTCAAGTTATGACGCCCCCGACTTGTGACGCTTCCCCAGGAACCAATCACGTCACAAGTCAGGGACTGCCTGTATTAACTCCTATTTAGTGGGGGAAGATTTTTTTCATAAGTCTGATCAGATCTTATCAGACCTGAGGTCCCTTCTAATTCAGTTCTATTATCTAATAGTAGAAACAGTGTTTAGAAGGAATCACCAAGAAAGATACAGGCAGTCCCCGGGTTATGTACAAGATAGGGACTATAGGTTTGTTCTTAAGTTGAATTTGTACGTAACTTGGAACTGGCTCCAGATTCAGCCGCTGCTGCTGAATCTGACCAGGGGCTGACTACAGGAAGCCCGAGACAGAGTTACTCTGCCCCCAGCTTCCTGGAATCAGCCACTGATCAGTTTCAACAGTGGCTGAATCTGGAGCCTGGGACAGAACAGCTGGGGCGCTGCCAGGTAGGTCCCCCCAGGACCAACCCGGCAGCACCCCAGCTGCACTACCCCAGGCGTCCACAACAAAAGCCTGGTCTGCTGGGTGGGGAGGGGAC